TATATATATATATATATATATATATATATATACACTGTATATACAACTATGTAACAGCATCAATCGAGTTTAATAATGTGTGTGGATCTCTAGATTTACCACTAGAGGGCGACAAGAGCATCTGCCATAATTTGTACTGCAGCATTCATATCTGTAGAGCTCCAAATAAATGGCAAAAATGGGTCTGAAAGAACCAGTATAATTTCTATTAAGCATGCATATCTAGTATATTATAAAGGAATTCTTAATGCATTCATATAATAAATCAGTTTTATGTACTTATGCATAAACATAGCCATATTTGCAATACATTACAGTGCTTATTTAATTAGTCAATTAGACCTTTAAATAGCATAATGCCTTAATCATAAACCAATTTCATGTGTTAAACCATAATGGTTACACTGGAATATTTATATCATATAAAAAATATTTGTTTAAATTAGGAAAAAGAATCCCTGATATTATTTGACAAAATATTGTCTGACAAATATTGTCTGATTTAGACCAATACTGATGATTTTAAAATCTTAACATTAGCTGCTACCTACTGATCCTAATTTTATAATGCATTAAGAATGCTTTATATAATACATTACATATACAGGCTTCAAAAGTATATGTAATACATGACATATACAGGCTAGCAAAACCACTGTTCTACCCTTGTGACCACATTAAAGAAAAAAGGGAGGGAAACAGATAGAATCAGGAAGGATGAGAGAACAGGAAAGAGGAAAAATCAAAACCCTGCAGGCTGCTGAATGTGCACCGCATACCTTTAACCGCACAATGCTGTCTGGAGCACCTAAAAACACTCGCTGTGATGCACTGCCAACCCAAGAACAACAAAAACAACCGCTGCCATCTTACAAGGGCATTGCGGAATCATCTGCCATTGTGATGCGTGCCAGAACGGTTTGTCATTATGATGTCATCGCATTTAGAACACTCCATGCAGAACGTGCTAGAACTCTCTGTGGTGTCGTGCTGGTGTTCTAGAACACTTGCTGTGAAGATGAAGTTCTCAAGAGCTCCTTTCCGACAATGAATAAAGAGTAAAAGGCCGAATGTCGACCGAATATAAACATGTAATAAATTCCTACTAAGCCTGTCTGTGAGCCAATGCAATTCAGCTACGTGTCTAAATGTAACCCAGTAAAAATGAGGTGCGCAAATAACAAATGACACCAATAGCTACGTTTAATAAAAACATTTGGGTTTTTAAAAAAAAATGTCTCGTGTGACACAAGATATCTAAACTAGTTCTTTTTCCAGTCGAAACGGCTTTAGCCAAACATCTGTTTAAAACTCATCATCGTGGTTGATTATAAACGCACCTTCGGCGCTGGTTTTTGGCCTACAAAAGGTGAGCGTTTGAAGCTCGTCTGCGATGCGTGTCTATGATAAAAGATTCTAACAGTGATATACAGCTTTTGTAAATAAATAATACTTAAAAATGGTGTAACACTTAAAATATGTGCGATCCCACCTATCAGCATGAGCAAACGTCACCGTGTTGGTGGTCTCATAATGAGACTGTGCTGGACATTAGGTTTACACACAGTATAACTCTGAAGATTAGGGAATTTTGCATCCGTACGGACTGTTGCGTGAAGTAGGAATGTTAACTGTCATGTGTAAAATGTAAAAATCATAACTATCATCACTATGCACATCGTAACAAACACACTTTTGCTCACACACGCATCATCAAGCTTCACGTTATTACAGTATGTGTCTGGATATACAGTGTTTCTGAGAAATATATTCTTTGTTATTATTGGCTATTTATATCAAAATTATTGATTATTACACACCAGTCCTTGGAGTCTGAGAAAGGCTTGAGTCGTTCTGATACAGAAAGTGCCAGAATAATGACGGCCCACAATGGGCTGGTCCGTCGCAGTTTTTACATTCTTGCACACTGAATCGTGTTCAGTGCTGGTCAATACAGTTTCATCATCCGAATACAAACGTGTCTTAATTTCTTCCATTTTGGCAACATTTGCTTCTGTCAACAATATTGTGTCAAAATATCCGTGTTGTATTTTAACAAATCAATAGTGGGGAAAATGTGGCGTGCCTCAGGGCTCGCTACTGGGTCCTTTTTGGTTTCCTAAGTAGCTCAGTCTCACTGACACTCTGCTTCCAAATAAAGCCCTTTTGGCATTTGGATCTGTGATTCCACATGTCTGTTAATGTTACGTGTGCACATGGTACAGACACAGACCTCTCTGATCATTCACGTTTCAGTTCCATATTTGAGCGCATATAGTATATACAGTCCTCTACTGGACTAAGATCAGTCTTTGTCTTCTTGTGTCAGACATTACAAAAAAATCACTGCCCAGAAATCATTAAAAACAGCTGGGAGAACAGATGGATTTTAAAAGAGAAGAGAAGAAAAGAAAGTGAAAAGATGCTGGAAGAGGACTGTATGCTGATAAAGTGCATTCGTTTTGTCATTTGTCTGTTTTACCCTTGTTACCGGGTGATTGTCGCTAGGGGTGGAGCGTCGTCAGGGAAACAGGGCTGCTGATCTATGTTCAGTGGATGGAAACTTGGAGGCTGGGTAGAGATGCTACATTCACGGCGTAACCTCTGACCTTTGACCTCGACGGTAAGAGTCATGAGGGTCACGGAGGAGGTGGAGGCCGTAAGCTTTTACATTTCATCTCATCCAAGCTCTTCCAGTATTTGTAGTTCTCCGCCAAATTCTCCATAAGACCTGGCAAACTGGCAAAGGCTGAGAGAGAAAGAGAGAAAGAGAGAAAGAGAGAGAGAAATTAGCTCTAGGAAATAAACAATTGTTATATAGATAGAATACTATAATAGATAACCGTAAAAAAAGGGAGAGAAAGAGAGAGAAGAAATTAGCTATAGGAAATGATCAACAGCCAATAGCCTGATAATAAAATAATATTAATAATAATAATAATAATAATAATAATAAAATCTTAAATTATTTTTTAGATATTTTATGGGTGTGTGTGTTTTTTTTAGATTTTGATCTAAGTTAATCTATTTTAAAGTATATTCCATTTATATTTATATCTTATGATATTTATATTTTTGGAAACAATAATATAAATTCATAATAAAATATAAAAATATAAAACAAATTTTCAAAAACAGAAATTTATTACAGATCATAATAATAATAATAATAATAATAATAATAATAATAATAATAATAATTAATAAAATAATATTAATAATAATAATAATAATAATAATAATAATAATAAAATCTTAAATTATTTTTTAGATATTTTATGGGTGTGTGTGTTTTTTTTAGATTTTGATCTAAGTTAATCTATTTTAAAGTATATTCCATTTATATTTATATCTTATGATATTTATATTTTTGGAAACAATAATATAAATTCATAATAAAATATAAAAATATAAAACAAATTTTCAAAAACAGAAATTTATTACAGATCCCCTGTAAAGACCTTGTCTCAGACGACCACCGGGACAAGACCACAGGAATCAGATGAGTCCTCTGCACAATGTGACTTTGCTGCAGCCTGAAATTGAACTGCTGGTTTTGTCTGGTCAGAGGAGAACTGGCCCCCCGACTGAGCCTGGTTTCTCCCAAGGTTTTTTCTCCATTCTGTCACCGATGGAGTTTTGGTTCCTTGCCGCTGTCGCCTCTGGCTTGCTTAGTTGGGGACACTTAATTTCCAGCGATATCGTTGACTTGATTGCAAATGATTGCAAAGATACTATTTAAACTGAACTGAGCTGGATGATGACATCACTGAATTCAATGATGAACTGTCTTTAACTGAAAAACGAGTGTTTACTATTGTCATTTTGCATTATTGACACACTATTTTCCTAATTAATGCTGTTCAGTTGCTTTGACACAATCTGTATTGTTAAAAGCGCTATATAAATAAAGGTGACTCGACTATTGTTAATTAAAAAAATTGTTTATAAAAATCTATCTATCTATCTATCTATCTAGTATGTAACAGTAAGCAAGTGTTGATAATTCTAATGTTTTTCTTTCTCATCTCACCATCTGTTCGGCTGCACTGGTTTCTGGCAGACGGGCTGCAGACTGATGAGTGTATGTGTTGTTTGCACGAGTGTAAATATGGCAATTTGAATGTTCACACATATGCACACACTCTCAGATTTCTGGTACATCCTCTTGAGGATGTTTTCAGTGCCCCCTGCTGAATCTGTCACGCACACAGACACACACAGACACACAGACACACAGACACACACACACACACACACACACACACACGTAGCTCCTCTATGATAAACTGACCTGATCGTGACCTTGGGAACTAAATCTGCGGAGAGCTCAAGAGATTCTGCTTCACTGCATCCTGACCCCAGACTACGAAAATCAAAGACACACACACACACACACACACACACACACACATAGATGCACATTCTTTCTCTCTCTCACATACACATACACACACACATACACTCACCCCTTCCCCTCTCCACCATTTTTAAAGTTTCCGTGACATCACGGCTGTTGTGTGTTGACAGTAAGCAGGTTTATTCTCTGGGGTTCGGCTCAGTGGGAAACACAGAACCTAAAGTTTCCAAAGCTCGCCACAATCAGCTCAACATTATCACAACCTCTCAGCAACCATCTAACACAACCCCCGTTCTCAACCCCTCCGGTCCAACATCTACTGCTGCTAATAGACCATTTCATCTCTTTTAGGAGAACCAGATGAGTCAAAAGATGCCTGGGAAAGTATTCTCTCTCTCTCTGTCTCTCTCCCAAACACACATGCAAAATACTTCCTCATTATTGTGTATTAGAATGATTATTTTCTACTCAGTGTTTGGTGATTTTTTTTCTGGATTTGTTGTAGAGCTGTGTGAAATATTTCATATTTATTTTATATTCACAATGATTTTGCTGCAAAATAAAAATCATCATAAATATTACAGCAATCTTAAGGCAAGATCTAATAAACCAGTTGAAGATTATTTCTGGCAACATGAGAGCAATGTATGATTTGCAAATAAACCTTTTGTCCGTCTTTTGAGTGCTTGTTTTTTTTCTCAGTTGGCTGTGAGGAAGCGTTGTTTTATTTGAAATAAAATAAACATTGAAATGAAATATTTTAAATTTTTAAACTAAATTTGATTGATTTCAGCTAGTTGCCAAGGATACATTTCTTATTTAGTTTTACTTGATGTATTAAAATAACTATAACTGGAATAAAAAATATAAACTGAAATAAAAATAACTATATATAAGAAACAACATACACAACAAAATTACTAAAACTTTTAAAATCAAAATGAAAGCAGAAAATATAAGAATAAAAACTACTTCAAAACATTAATAAAAACCATAAAAGTATCTCAATGATACTAAAATAACACTGCTATGAGGCTGAAAGCAAATGTCAAAACATAAATACTGAGATATCAAATTTTTGAATGGCGCAGCCCTGATTATTATGCAGTGCATGTGTGAGTGTGTGTATATTTACCATCCCAGGCATCAAACATGTCCGTGATGAAATAGTCGATAAATGAGATCTGGGATTTAGGAATGCTGCAGGTATTCCGGTCAAACACTGGCATGACAACCGGCAAACCTTGTCTTTTCTCCTCGTCAGTCTAAGGAAAGAAGGAGATCGCAAATACAGAAAGCAAAGACAAATTATTGTAAAAATATATATATATTTTATTAATATCAATTTAGTGACTGACCAATTTTATCTACCATTATTTGGCCATTTTGAGATTAACAGCATTAGTCAATAACTGTGGCATCTTACCTGGCTTTTTCAATAGACAATGCGTGCAATAGATAATTACAGTTTTAAGCATTTTTGAGTGAATTTTAAGTAATTATTAAGATATTACTATTAAAGATATTACAAATTAACATTAAATATTAATATTAAAATTATCCTTTTAATTTCAGCACATGTATTTTGAATTTAAATAATTGTTGAATATTAGTTTTTGTATATTATGTCAAATATAATTTAATAAATAAATATTTTGTTCATCAAAAAACAAAAACTAGCTTTTTCAATAGATAATGTGTGCAATAAATAATTTCTGTTTCAAACCTTTTTGAGGGAATTGTAAGTAAATATTGAGATATAGCTATTAAAGATATTACAAATTAAATATTAATATTAAAATTAGAATTTTAATTTCAGCATATGTATTTTGAATTGAAATAGTCATTAAATATTAATTATTGTATATTATGTCAAAGGTAATGTAATAAATAAATACACATATAATAATTATATTTTTCATCAATCTTTTCATCAATTACCCAATACAATTAGAAAATAAAATTATTTCAACTCATTTCTTGTGGTCCAATCGGGATAATCAAGTGTTACATACTATACTTCAGAAACACTGTATTTCACTTGGAAATACAACATTTTATTAAAGTGAAATGACAATAAAAATTCGAAAGACATTGCAAGCATGTGAGTGCAATTGTGACTGAATGTTTTTACCTGAGCAAAGTACTCCTCTGAAATGCGACCAGCCCATTCGATGCAGAGCTCCAGAGGTCTGCAGGGATTGGCCACATCGGCACATTTAATCAGCATCCGTTTAATTAACAGACGATTCTCAGGAGAGTTGCGAATACTGGCCTGACCCTCACAATCACTGCCTTCACTCTGTAACACATGCAGATCTGCATTTGTCAGACTGTACTCAAACAGTATGGAAAAACAGTATTGTGTGTCTTACATTTGAGCTCGTCTCCTCAATGGCACTCATGGGTTTGTTGATGCTGTTTACGAACTTGTTGACGTGTTCAAAGTGTCGCGTCATTTCTGTCGCCAGCACCATGTCTATTATGGCCTGCCGTAGGGTTCGAAACTGAGTCCTGAATATGGAGAGGTTGAGAGAGTTGAGTCATGGATCAGTGCGAGTCATATGAAAGGTATGATTTAGCTGACACTGATACCTTTCCATGTTTTTGAAGATGTTGCACTTGCTGTCTCGTACAGTAAGCTGGAACGCTAGAGCGGCGTGGTGACTCTCCAGGACGGCCGTGTCGTTGTACAGAATGGCCAGATCGCTGCCTGCATTGCACAGGAATGAGTTGGTGTGGCCCGGGTGATCAACGTCATGGACCGTTGCTGCCAACAGTGCCGCTACTTCATCCAACTGGTCAAGACTGCCCTGCAAACACAGCACAGATACCGTAGGTAAGTTTTAGAAGTAACTCAAAATTGTTTAGGTCAGCTCAATATTAGTGACTGACTGTTTTATGAGATTAACAGCATCAGTCAATAACTGTGGCAACTTAACTGGCTTTATCAATAGATGATGCACAATTTTTGTTTTAAACATTTTAGAGTGAATTTTGAACAAAATATTAAGAAAATAGTATTAAATACTATAAATTAATGATTGTTTTTGCTTTTTGAGTGTTCTTATTTTTTTTGTTCAGTTTTTTTTAAATAATTTGTTTGCATTAACATATAGCATTAACATTAATTTGTTATTTTACATTTTTTTACTCTAATATGATGTTAAATATTAAAATTTAAATTCTAATTTAAATTTTAACACATGTATTTTGAATTTAATATGATATTATTATTAATAAATTCATGTTATATTAAATTATATAATCTAATATAAATATAACATTTACAGTATTTGTAAAAATGCATGTTCATAAAATATAAAAGAAATAAATATTAAAATATTAAAATTAAAAGTATAATTAGTTATTGACACATATAAGTTGATCAGTCTTGTATATAATTAATTCTAGATCATCAAAATTCAGATTCAATCCAGTTTATTTGGCTGAGGTAAACTGTAAATGTATGGCACAACTTTATTATTATATTTAATTGACAAAATTACTTTATATAAACTATACATTTATTTATTTACAATGAAATAAAAAAAAAAAAATTACACTTTTAATTTAAATAACATTTTACATTAATTTAATGGTTTTTATATTAGCATAATTAATAATATAAGAAAACATTTATTTCGAAATTTGCAACAATGTTAACTATACTTTTGAATAAATGAGTTAGTATTGAAACTCAGGCCTGATGAACAGTCAAAACAAGTAAACAAAATAAGTCTTAATAAATCCTTAAAAAGGCTGTTCTTACCTTTGGCCGATGTTTTCATTTTTGATCAAAGTATAAATTGAGACATTTCTATTTCTGTATTCTGTTTGGTTGTCAGGGTTACCTTGACTCGGTCCTTGCGCAGGAAGTAGGCTGTGGCGTGCAGGACGTCTGCGGCGTGTGTTGAGTTGTGGTAGGAGTTGGATGCGTGGTAATTAGCCTCGATCACCTGCAGCCACGAGCGCAACGTGGCCTCTGTGCAGTTCAGGAACTCACACACGCCAAAAGCAGAGAAGATCTTCAGCCCCAGGTATGAGAGCGGCCTGCGAACACACACACACACACACACACACACACACACACTATAACAATCAGAACTTTTCCCATTAAAAACTAGTTTTACACAAAGAAAAGTCTCGCTTTCTGGTACCTCTTGTGAGTAGCTGCTTCCAGCTCCAGGATATTGAATTCCCAGCATTCCTCCTCGTTGAGCAGCTCTGCGATGGAGGACGGGATGTCGTTTACCGGGACAGGCACTGCCAGCTGACTCTGACTCATATCTGAAGGTCAAATGGGTGATGGCCAAACGTTCAATGTCAAGATAAAACATGAAAGGCACAAAAACATTTCAGATACTTTAAACTAGTGTTAATTATATACTATTGTAGTTTTTATTAATATTTTGATTTAACTTTCATTTTTATATTTTCATTTTTAATTTTGCTTTAATTTCTACATTTTCAGTTTTTATTTTCAAGTTTAATTTTTTGTAATTTTGTTATTACTTTTGCCATTTATTTATTTTTTTTATAATTTAGGTTTCATTTATTGTATTTCAGCTTTAGTTTAAGTTTTAGTTCAGTTTAATTTCAGTTTTTAATTTTTAGTAATTTTGTTATTTAGTTTTGTAATTTATTACTTTTTCTTTTTTATATTATTTAGGCTTATATAGTTTGTTTCAGTTTTTTTTTTATTGTAATTTTGTCATGTATTTCTTATATTATATTTGGGTTCCATTTATTTTTATTTCCGTTTTAGTTTTAGTTCCATTTTCATTTTAATTTTAGTTTAATTTTCAGTCATTTTAGTCTGTACTTTTGTCATTTATTTTTAAATACTATTTAGGTTTAATTTATTTTATTTTATTTTATTTATATATATATATATTATTTTTTATTATGTTGTAGTTTATTTGCAGTTAATAATTTTAGTGCTTTAACTTAACATTTCTAATTCTCGTTTAGTTAATTTTTTTCATCTAATATTTATATTTTATTTAATCTTTATTTATAATAATTTTAGTTTTATTTACAGACAATTACCCTGCTTTAAACAGCAACTCCCTACAGTTCAATCCCTCACTGTAACTTTTCATTTTCGTTCTGTTACACATTTTCTTGCCATAATGTGCATAATTAAGTTACAAGTGCCTTTCATATTTTAAATTACATCCTATAATACTAAATAATACTTACAGGGTTCCCACTCTTTCATGAACACCAGATTCAAGGACTTTTTAAAGCACCATTTATTTTATATCAAGCACCTATCAAATTCACACCCCAGCATATGTAGTGTCATGAAAGACCTTACAGTACTTAACATTTCACTTACACTTAACAT